TCAGCAGGACATACGTGTTAGATCCACTACCCCGGGAGGGTTAAAAGAGACCCCGACTTACACGTCCTCCTGCTGCCCCTGAGACGGCGGCCTTTTTCCGCGACCCCAACGTGGCACCCACTGGCCGCGTGGTGCCCTCGTGCTCTCCTCTCCCGTGACGCCACCCAGCCTTCTTGCTGTCAAGAGTGGTTCCCGAAAAACAAGCTTCAGGAACATGTTGCCACTGAGAGTACACAGAGCCATAGAGTCTTGGGATGAGCATAGCTGGTGCCTTCCATCTCCCTGTACAAGTGCATATTCCAAATAAATTGCCGACAGGTTATGCTATGTTTCTCCCAACCTCCAAAAATAGGCTTGAAAGTCCCTAAAGATAGGAACTGATGTTTGAAATTAGTTGTGACGCGTAATGTCCAGTGTAAGACACTTTTCAACTATTCAGATCTTGCCACTTAGATATGACAGAAATCCAAGGTATTATCCTAGCAGGTGTTGCTACATTATTTTCCCACATTCACATGAGCACACTGCTCGTTAAAACTTGGATGTGAGGCATCCCTGCAGCAGTAGTTGCTTTGTGTGGTATACGGCTACTGGCAGTTTCTCTCACTCCAGTGGCCTCGCGGTAGGCAAAACAGTGCGTGTAAAAATAGCGTCGCGTGACTTGATCTTTCTCCTGCTGCCGCTTACCTTCGTAAACCATTTCTACAGTTTTCTTCTAATGTCTCAAGATTGATCATCAGTGTAAAGGAAGACACTACTGTGAGCCAGACAAAACACATCCATTTCCCTGAGGATTAAATTAGCTTCGTCACGGTGCCGTGAGTGAAGTATAAACATGCTTTACCTACACGAGGGATTCCAGGGCAACATGGCCGCCCAGTCATGGGAACAGCCTCCTCAGCAAGGAAGTTATGTTCGTTTCCCAGGGCCGGTGTCACAGAGTACCAGAAACGGTGTGCCTTAGAACAGAAATGTCTTGTCTCACAGTTCGGGAGGCCTGAGTCTGAGATCAAGCTGTCAGCAGGGCCATGCCCGTCCACAGGCGCTAGGGAAGGTCTGTTCCAGGCCTTTCTCCCAGCTTCTGGCAGTTCTCGGCTTGTGGCAGCAGAACTGCAGTCCTCACATGCCAGTCTCCCTGGGTGTGCGACTGTCTCCAGATTTCCCCCTTTTATAAATACATCAGTCATTGGATTAGGGACCCATTCAACTGTAGCATGACCTCATGGTAACTAATTACATCTGCAATGACCCTCTTTCCAAATACGGCCACATTCTAAGGTACTGAGGGTTAGGACTGCAACATAGGGATTGGGGGAGGGGGCACAAATTCAACCTGTAACAGAGGTGTTCTTTGAAAAATGCATTTTCAAAGTAAGAATTCCACAGGAGTGAGACTGCATTCCACGTTATGAATTCCTTCTGCACATTCTGCTGGGACAGCCCCACCTTCTTCAGTTAGGCCTTTACAGTCCATGAAAAGGACACCCCCGGCTTTGACAGGACCACCTGGCGCTCTCGGCACAAGGGACTGTACGCAGCTGGGGCTGAGCCTGGCAGCCTGCCACTCCCAGGTCCCCTGCCATGTGAGCTCCCTGTACCTCAAGTCGGCCTGTGCCAGGCTGTCTCCACTGCTCACCGGGTGTCACCGCACACGAAGCCCCGCCTCCTACCCCCAGCCCCACCCGAGGCCTGTACTCACCACCTGTTTAGCCCCAGCCTACCTTGTTTTTTTCCTGTCTTCCTCCTCTAAAAAGATGCGAGCTTCTTGAAAGCAGGATCTGAGCTGAGGGGAGGGGAGGAAGGGGGAGGGGGAGAAAAACAAACAAAAAAGCAGGATCTACTTTTTTCTTTTAATGTAGTATCCTTTTTTCACATGCTTAAATGGTTACAGAACTTGGTAACTTCCTTCTTGCAAAATTTTAAAAATACAGTTTGTTGGACACATTTCATTTACTAATTGGCTGTTTCTATTTATTGAGTTTTCGATACCAGATTAGAAAATAGAAAATAATGTGAAAGCACTGAAGACCTCTGTCTCATGACAATAATCGAAGTAAAAGCAGAAAGCGTCCCCCTGCACCCCAGAAAGCTGTGTCTAGCGTTTGCAGGGTGAAGTGTGGCTGTCTTGGCGCTGTAAGGAAATGTTAATCTGGTGCTGCTCGCTGCCACCTAGGATGATCACCGCCATCTGAACCAGTTCATAGCTCACGCGGCTCTCGACCTCGTAGATGAGAACATGTGGCTGTCAAACAACATGTACTTGAAGACGGTGGACAAGTTCAATGAGTGGTTTGTTTCAGCATTCGTCACTGCGGGTCATATCCTTACCTGTTTAATAAAGAGCTCTAACAAAGGGTTGGGGTAACAGACTAGACCAACGTGGGACCTAGATGCCACGTTCTGAGTCTGTGGACTGCAAAATATTAGGTAAACATTGCCACTTACGGGGGCTTTTATTATTTTAGGGGGAAAAAACACTCACCTTTTGTTTAACAGATAATTTTAAAACCAAGTCTCATATATAAAGTTAAGGTTTATCTGAACCATATCAATGGTGATTTTATTTTGTAGTTATTTTCTAACTTAAAAAGGTTATGTTCTCTTCAAGATAAAACTAACCTAACTTTGAATCCAGTTTACGGATTCACCTTTTCCATCGCAAAATACACTGCATGTGACTCATTTGAAGAATATTGTATCGACTGATCGCTTTTCAGTTTTCATTTCTAAAGATTATACCTTAATTATTTCACATATGAGATTTATTATGCTGCATGACATCAGGCAAGAAGACGGGATAAAGAACTTCTTTACTGATGTCTATGATTTATATATAAAGGTATGGTATGTTCTGTACCTTGTAAAATCTGGTTATAAAAGAGATTCCGTCTTTGGCAGGACACTGGCCTGTTGAGGCAGCCCCCTTAGACCGCACAGCTCTCCTCAGCAGAGGTCTCCTCCAGCAGGACCATTCTGGCAGCTCCCTCACCAGGCAGGTCTCTACCACCAGCTTAACACGTATGCAGGACAACAACTCGTAGTTATTTTAAATCGGTTTCATTCTTCCCCGTTTGGTGCATATAGTTGATTTTATGAGGGAACCCTAAAGCGAGAGACAGAAGCAGTCTGTAGAAGGGAAGTTGCTTCATAATTTTAATGTAAAATGTTTTCCATCTACTTAACAAGTAAGTTACAGTGCAATGAATGTAGATCATAAACAGGAAGTGATTCATGTATTATCAAAGTCACTCAAGGAGAAAGGGGCCACACGCGTTTCTTGATACTCACTTGGAAAAAATGAAATAGTAATAAGATATGAGTGGTTAAACTGCAGTGCTGACAGTATATTCTTAATAATTTAAACATTCTCTATTTGGACAAGATTTTTTGCATATCAGCACAGTTAACAATCAATATTCCTAGTCAGAAGTAGCAAATAAGAATATTTAGCCCTCTTATAAAGATGGACAACATCAAGTGATTAAGGTGTAAAAGTTGGTAACTCCTTTCTTCATTTGTGATTCCATCCAGTACTAATTTTCCCTCACACATATTATGATATACTCGTTACATTATCTGAGAAACTGATCACTTACCTTGTGTTAAAGGAGAGTATTAAAAACCTGATTGTTAAAAACTACCGCACAAGAGTAACTTTTAAAAGCAGCGTGGTGTAACTTTTCCTCCACTCTGAGCATATCAGATTTTTAGTGTGTTTTATATAGCCAAAGGGCCTACCGGACGAATCCACATCTTCATAATGAACATTGAATCTAGTTGTATTTCACACACACGGTGGATCCCGGGAGTTGGTTTTGCTCACACAGGCAGCACTTACCATACGTGCCACCATGGGTTTTGCCACAGGCACTTCCCTTAAACACCAAGACAGAAATTTCCTTAAGGGGCTGTTAATATTTAACAGTGGAACATCTTCATTAAAACTTAAAAATGTGGTCTTCAGACTTCTGCTTTGAATGTCTTTAATGACTTAATTTAAAACTTTAAAAGATTTTCCTTTTAGAGACTTATGATGTCAGCCTTTTTACTTTGACAAGCTCACCTTAATACTTTCTTCTCTTCTAGTTTGCAATGAATCCATTTTATGAACCCAATTCTCCTATTCGATCAAGCGCATTTGACAGAAAAGTTCAGTTCCTTGGGAAGAAACACCTTTTAAGCTGAATGCAAAAAATTCAGAAGTAAACAGTGTCACTACAATGGGGTGTACTCAGGAATGTGTACATTGTAAGTAACTTGATTAAACAGCATGGAAAAATTTTAGTTGTAGTCTCAATTTATCTCAACCTAATGAAATTGCTTTTATATTTAAAAATAGCATATTCAGTTTCTTATGATTATCAACAGATTGTTATTTGCTTGTGAACAGTGTTATTTATGAAGAGCTCTTTATCAGTAAGCTTGAAGTATTTTTATTTTAAAAATTGAGAATAAGCTTTGACTTTCCTCATTCAGATAGCTTGATCTTGTTGTAACGGTCCAGAACCAAATGTCATGGTCAAGATTTGGTAGGCAGATTTAAACCCAAAAGCTTCTGCAGTAGGGAATGAAGTTGATAGCACATACATGGGTTCATCTATACATCTAGAGATGTTATGAAAAGGTATAGGTAGTATACACAGTAGTATATGTACACTAAGAAGCCAAGAAGCCAGAACAGACAGCTTTGCAGTGCCAAATGCCACAGGTCTGCCCCTGTCGGAGACTAGGAACAGTGATCCTGCTGTAATCCTAGAATCCTGGATCCATGTTTGTCAAGTGGGAGGCTAGGACCAAAGTGACAGGTTATGTTCTTATGTTTCCTTTCCCTCAGACAGTAAACTAAAGATTAAGTGAACCCGTTGATAGCTGTACTAGTAAACAGTTGTAAGGCAGTTTTAGAATTGTAAACAAAGAAAAGCTTGCATCACAGTAACACTTGCCCTCTTGGCCATCTTGGCCACTTAGGCTGTATACCGGAGGGGGCAGGAGTGGCCTCTTTTTTGTACTGTAAGAGCGTGGGATCTTACAGTAAACCAGTAAATGTCCATTGAAAAGCAAGTAATATAACCGCGTATTTTCTGTGCTAATTGTGAGCACCTGAAGAATTTTGTTCCATTCTGGATAACCTGAGCAAGTAATTCTAAGTTTGGTCCTGTATCTTTGTGTGAAGTTGCTAGCATAATTTTTTACCATATTTATTTGATTTCCTAAATAAAGATGTTTGTCCAAGATTGTGGAAGTTTAATATCGATTTTTTTAATTCTTTTTTTTTTTGGCCACCTGCGCGGCTTGCGGGATCTTAGTTCCCTGACCAGGGATCAAACACGGGCCCGGGCAGTGAAAACGCTGAGCCCTAACCACTGGATCGCCAGGGGAGTCCCAATATTGAATTTTTTAAGTGCTACTCACCCCACCAGTACTACTACCATTTTAGTCCTGTTTCCCCTAATGAAAGTCTGCATATTAACATATATTGCAACTCATTTTACAGGATTCAAATCGTCTCAAACTTAGGTGCTGGAGCAGAAAAGAGATACTCAGCTAGAAATCCAGGAGTGATGTCTGCCATGCTCATTGGAGAGGCCCACACATGTACTTATTGTATACAGTTTGCTGTGCCCTGAGGCTGTAGCGTGGAGATGGTTTGGATCCCAGCTCAGCCACACAACAGCGGTGCCCTGCAAACAGCCTTGTCACCAGGCTTGTGACGGTGAGATGGGAACGAATAACACAGGCCCCATGGGAGTAGATCACTGTAGTTAAGTGTCAGATTTCACGTATGACTGCCTCCGAAGGAGCATGAAGGCAGATTCAGTGATGAGCGTAGGAATGGGTAGGACCTCAAAGGTGGGCCGTGCTGGGAAAGCCTGTGGGCACACGGGTAGGACAGCTCAAAGGATGGAACCAGGGCCGGTACAAGGGGAAAACCAGGCGCTGTCCATTAAGAAAGCAAAAGAAGGGCTTCCCTGGTGGCGCAGTGGTTGAGAGTCCGCCTGCTGATGCAGGGGACATGGGTTCGTGCCCCGGTTCAGGAAGATCCCACATGCCGCGGAGCAGCTGGGCCCGTGAGCCATGACTGCTGAGCCTGCGCGTCCGGAGCCTGTGCTCCACAACGGGAGAGGCCACAACAGTGAGAGGCCTGCGTACCGCAAAAAAAAAAAAAAAAAAAAAGGCAAAAGAGCCGGCAAAACTCAGATCTGGTAGTAGGTGACCGTCACTTAAAGCTCTGGAACACAAGACCAACTGGGGGACATCACTAGCACCCAGGGCGTCAGGCTCCACTGAGCACACGCAAGTCAGCATTAAACCTGTAATCTACGTTAGCACTCCCGAAGTGATCCAAATAGAATGCACAAATCGGGTTCGGTCCTCTTTCATTGCCTAGGATGCTTCGGTGGTGCCCACGTTCTCCACGTATGTAGAGACCTTTGGTCTCTCCTCCACCCTGCTACACCCGTGTCCTTTCACTTTATGGTCACGATAGCACTTCCTGGTTGACAGTCCATGGTGGTAACTTCTCAGAATCCACTGACTACACAGATCCTCTTTTTCTACCTAACGCTTCCTTGCCCCACAAGCCGCTGGCACTGTGGATGGAACTGGCGTCACAGGGTCATGCTATTGAAGTGAAAGCTTACACAAGGTTTTATAGAAATGTAAAACGCCAGGTTTTAACATGAGGACCATCTAGGATGTTTTAACTTAAACTAGGGAGTTTTCCCCAAGGGGGAAGAAGGTGACAAAAGCAGTAATTCACTGAGGAACGTGCACTTTTCCATCTTCCACGCGGCACATTGTAATTGCTACGTCGACTGGCACGTGTACATCTGTCCATCCCCCCAAGTTCAGTAGTTTGCCTTTTTCTTAACCCTGAACTCTGTCTCCAAGGCTTTACATGCGCAGACAGCACGAAAGCACTTGTCATCACGGCGGCAGCCGCCGGCCCCTAACACTGGGGCCCGGCCCTGAACGGGACAGCGCGCACGGCAGTGCTTCCCTCCCGCCTGCTCCCTCGGGCTCCGCAGCTGCTCCGCCCCTCTTGCCGCCACCGCAGTCGCCTGCTTTGCTCCCCAGCTCTCACTTTTTCCCTAGTTCTCATCTTTGTGTAAGTAACACCAGCCAGGCAAAGCCCGTGTTACTTTCTTAAAAGATTCAGATTTTCAGCTACCTTCTGCTGCTGTCTAAAGAGCTCCCCCATCAGGTGAACGAGTTGTCGTCGCTGTGAAGGAGGAAGCTAGTCAGTCAGGTCCTGTTCCTCCTCCTCTCATCCCATTTCAGTACTGGGTTTGGTCAGCCTCTGTTCACTGGATCCCTTTAAGTCACGCTGTGAAGCTGCATTACTCTCCCTTCAGTCAGCCTGTCTACACACATGAGGATTTGGGCCTTTGATCCTTTTTTGCTGCCCAGCTCTAGACCTCTGGAATGCCAACTAATCTAATCCCTGAATATTTAGCTGAAAAAGAGGTTATTGAAAAGATGCTTCACAGTTTAGAAAAACCACTAAGGTATTAGTTAAATCTGTACAAGTATCAAAATTATACATTTTGTAAATACCTACACACACACACACACAGACGTGTAATGGGCTGAATTGTGTCCCCCCCCCCACCCAAAATTCATAATCAACAAGGCCTAGCCCCCAGTCTCTCAGAACGTAACTATATTTGGAGACAGGCCCTTTAAGGAGTTAATGTGAGTTCAATTGAGCCCATTAGGGTGATCCCTTAATCCAGTCTCACTGGGGTTCTTATAAGAGGAGGAAATCTGGACACAGAGAGACGGGGGTGGGGGGGCGGTGGAGGTGGGTGTGTGCAGAGGAAAGATCCCCTGCAAGCCATGGAGAGAGGACTCAGGAAAAACTAAACCTATCAACACCTTGATCTTGGACCTCTAGCCTCCAGAACTATGAGAAAAGAAATCCCTATTGTTTAAACCACCAGGTCTGCATGTTATGGCAGCAGTAGCGAACTAACACAATATGCTTCCCTTACGTACTAAAAATCTAGACGGATACCCAAGAAACTGACACACGGCTGCCTCCACGTGCAGGAACTCGGTGGCAAGGGTAGATATTTGTCCCTTGTGCCTTATAATGTTCAACCGTGTGACTCTATCATCTACTCAAATGATAAACAAAAAAATGTACTCCTAATATCCATTGGTGAGCAAGGTGTGGGAAACTTTAATATACTACTGCTAGCTAGCTATCAGCAGAGAACGGTTTGAATAAACTGTTAGACATCCATGCAGCAAATAAATGAGGTAGGTCTACTATATAATGGAAATATACCCAGACAGATTGGGAGAAAAGGGCAAGTCACAAAACAATGAGTACACATGATTTAAAATAACAAAGCATGTCCCCTAGAGAAAAAAACAAAGGGAATATATAATACACACTCGTTTCTTAATGGTGGATTTCTATTTTGTTTTCTGAATGGAGGATTATAGTTTGGTGGGGCTGGGGCGGAATTGATTATAAATAATAAAAACTACAGCTCTCTCTAACCTGAGACTATAAAGAGATTTAATTTCCCCAGATTTAAAATGTGAAAATGTTTTGCTTAGAGCCAAATCTGTTGTGTTAGGAAATTAGATTTTCAAAAGCTGAGCTTACTGTATTGGCGTTCTGTGTCAAGTGGTTCCAAGGAGTGGGGCCAGGGAGAGAAATCTCTCAACCTAGCTGTTCCGAAATGTACTCCCCCGCACAGGACAGCCCCCCAAAAGCATGTCGCTTGATAACCCACCGCTCCACAACCAAGGGTCCTGTCCTCTCTAACACGTGTGCCTGGCAATGGTGTGCCTCTGTGGGATGGGATCGGCATGAATGGCGCAGTGGGTGCACTTTACCCACGAAAGACCACAACCTGCTCTATCAATAAGGCTGCTCGTTGCAGCAGAATGACGAAAAATCTCCTTGAGACCAAATCACTAAACAAAGCTCAGTGACGCAGAAGACACAGAATAAATACATGAGCAAATAAAGATGTCTTCATTTACCCGCACACACAGTACAATCCCGAAGCAGTACCTTCTGCAAGAGTGATAAAGCCGGCTTCTGTGTTGGGGGTCGAGGGGGGCACACAAACGACAAGTGATTACAAGTGAGATCAATCCTGATATGTAGAATGAAAAAGCGAACACGCACATAATTCTAAACCGAATGAACACATCCTCAAATCACATGACTACACGGCAAATGCACTGGATTTTAATCTTTAATATCTAACATTATTGCTTTAGGACATGTTTTCCCTGAACCAGGAACAGAGTGCTAATTACATAAAAATATACACATAGAAAAAGTAGTTCTCCATTTTCCCGGGGAAAAAACAGTAACTTCTAGAATACTCAAGTGTTTTAATTATAAAGTCTTGGTCATCTCATTTATTAGCTCTGTGACATACATATTTAAATTAAACATTATTAGACAACCGTTACAACTTATAAAGGTAAGGTGCCATTACTGAGTAAAGAGATTCTCCTGTGAGTGGATGTGTCCCTTCTCCCACCCACTAACAAGGCAGCAATATGGTTAGTTTAATTTTATGAGTACATGATCCATTGCTGCAAACACGAATTCTCGTCTCCACCCTGTGCTTATCTGTGCATGTGTGTGACCTGGTTAGATCGCAAGGGCAACCTCTCGAACTTCAACAGCAAGATGAGCTGGGCTTGGGCTTTCGGTGCAGACTGACCGTGTCTGTCTGAATCAAGTGATCTGACCTATCCTCGGTAGCAAGCACTCTTCGAACTGCTTCCTCAAAGGCCGCTGCGACATTCGTGGCATCTTTGGCGCTTGTTTCAAAGTAAGGATGGTCGCCGTTGTCCCTGCACCAGGCTTGAGCTTCTTCTGCAGACACCTGCCGCTCGCTGATGTCAACCTTGTTACCCAAAATCACAAAAGGAAAGCTTTCGGGCTCTTTCACATCCGCATAATATATGAATTCTTTCTTCCAGTTACTCAAATTCTGGAAGCTTTGAGAATCATCGACGCTAAAAGTAAGCAGGCAACAGTCAGAACCTAGAAGGAAAGCTTTCGGGCTCTTTTACATCCGCATATGAATTCTTTTTTCCAGTTACTCAAGTTCTGGAAGCTTTGAGAATCATCAAGGCAGGCAACAGTCAGAACCTCTGTAAAATGGCGTCCTTAGGCTTCTGAATCGCTCTTGACCGGCCGTGTCCCAAATCTGCATGGTAACAAAATGTCCATCCACCTCCAAATCTTTATTTAAAAATTCCACACCTATTGTATGGAAGAGTTGGGCATCAAACTTATTAGTCACATATCTGTTCATTAGAGAACTCTTCCCAACTCCACCATCTCCAAGGAGAATTACTTTAAAAAGTGATGATTTTCCTGCCATTTTTAATCTCAAGATCTCTGATTTCGGAACCCTGTAAAATAAAAGGGTACCATTACATTCCTTTAGACCTGTACATGGTTCTCCATGCCTCTATGAATGTCAGTGTCTAAGGGAAATAAAACACAGAGCCCCAATTCCTTTCTGCGCAGCGAATACCGTACGGCAAGAGATGTCACCTACTGAGCCCTCCACCTCATGCCAGGCACCACCCGACCGTCACTCTCTCTGACAGCTGCTGAGGGCTCATTCTTCCCCTTCTTCGGGTCAACGCTGACTGAGGCTAGCACTCAAGGCCAAGTCTGACCCCAAAGACTGTCCTCTCAACCGTTCCTCTTGGCTCACAATAAGCCCTGCCACCATTTGTTAGAGATGCAGTAGGAGACCGAAGTGGGCACGTTTCTGTAGCAACTGCAAACAGCCCTCTGGTGGCACGGTGACAGTGTTCACTGATGGCTTTCCTCTCAGGCCAGCAGGTTTCTAGACAGCTCCCTCTTTCTCTCTCCCAGCGCCATCACCATAGGAGCTGGTAAGCAGGAAACCAGAGACAGAACTGACTGATCTGGCTGTGAACAGACGGAAGCCAACCACCCAGTAAAGGACTCTATTCTTTTCATTAGGAACACTATTTTGAGCTAGCTAACATTAATGTCAGCACCACTCGAATTTTTGATATAATATTATAACCTAGCACATTCTACCCACAAGATTCATTTGGGCAGCTCCAACTCTTCTGAACAAATGTGAGCCTGGGCTGTTACTTGTGTGTTTCAAGGGGGGAATGAAATGAACATTAAACAAAAATGTGGTACCATGCTTACCCTTTAGGGGAAGCCCTGGGGCATGACTAACTCCCTCCCCACCACCAGTCCCCGGGGGCGAGGGGGGGCGGGGCTCAGGGGAGGGTACGGAGATTCAGACACCCTTTTGTAGGCTGGTGGGAGCACTGTTCCTATTTAAGGCTTCTGTTTTAATTCTTTATTATGAAAAATTTCAAACATACACAATTTCTGAATAATGAGAATAATACAATGACACCTCACAGACCCTAAACCTAGCTTCACCAATTATCAACTTACAGCAAATCTTGTTTCCTCCATGGCGTCCCATTCTCCCTTCTGCCCAATTATTTTGAATCAAATTATATCATTTAAACTAAATATTTCAATATTAAATGGCTTTTAAGATATTTGTAAAGGAAGACAACCTTTAGAGTAGCACTAACAGAATTTTCTGCAATGATGGAGATGTCCTCCATCTGGACTGTCAGCCACTACCCACAAGTGGCTAGTGGGAGCAAGGAAATGAATTTATATAAAATGAAAATGAATTTATATAAAATTATATTTATATAATTATATATATATATATAAATGAATTTATATAAAATTATATTTTATATAATTTTCACTAATTTGAATAGTCACATTTAAAGAGCCAACAGCTGTATTGGACAGCACAGCCCTAGAGCAAAATTGGTAATTAACTTTAACATGAAAGTAGATATTGTGAATCCCTCAATGGGAAGGTAATAAAGGCATGAACAATAATCGTTGTATTGACTAGGATGAATTTGCAAAATCACTGCAGTAAACAAACATTATCTGGCAATCGCCTGGTTATATGCAAGTATGACCCATTATAATGTAACTGAACACTTCCCATAACGTGCAAGAATTCTGCATTTCCTACTACATGCTACACACTATTCTTATAAATATGTGGCAACTTGTCCCTCTTTTTTTTTTTTTTTTAAATCTTCTTTCAATTCCTTTATTAATTTCTTTTTCATGTGGGTTAGTTCTTGCAGTTTTTGAGTTTGGTTTCTCTCTTTCATGCTCTTGATTTCCTTCAAATGTTTGAGGATTTGGGAAAGCCAATCCTTTTTTTTTTTTTTTTTTTGCGGTACGCGGGCCGCTCACTGCCGCGGCCTCTCCCGCTGCGGAGCACAGGCTCCGGACACGCAGGCTCAGCGGCCATGGCTCACGGGCCCAGCCGCTCCGCGGCATGTGGGATCTTCCCGGACCAGGGCACGAACCCGTGTCCCCTGCATCGGCAGGCGGACTCTCAACCACTGCGCCACCAGGGAAGCCCTGTCCCTAACTCTTATTGGCGCTTTTAAATTACTACAGTAATTACTACTATGATTAATACAATTTAAATTGGCCAACAAAAGTGTGAGGCAATTAAAGTGCGTACTACTTGGAGACTTTTCGACTTCAGTGGATGGCTCTGCCCAATGCCCAGGCTAAATTAATGTTAGGGAGGAAACTCAAACTGTCTCAAGCCCTTTAATTTCCTGACATAGTAACAGTGCACTAAATCGGTTCCTTTGTTTAATTCTTTGGAATCTTGATTACACGACTTCAACTTAGAAAAAAAGAGTAGCAAAACCAAAAAAGCACACCAACTATTCTGACATAAGGAAAGCATCTAATGCTCCCTCCTTAACATTCTTCAGTGCTTCTCCAGAGATTCAGTTCTAAGTCCAACTTCTAAGGCAAGACACCTGGCCCTGCTCCCCATTCCTGGCATCAGCCATTCAGAAACGCACTGTCACAGGGAAGTGAAACTCAGACCCGCGGGCTCAGCCCTCACACTCGCCCCTGCCTTCGTCCCGGCACGTGCTGCTGCTCGCTCTGCTGGCGAACCCAGCCCCGCTTCATGAACTAACCGCGGGGCCCTCAGAACCGCTCAGCACAGTCATCCCCCACACTGGGAACCTCCCCCAGCAGCCCCCCATCCCAAGATTGTTCCTTTCCCACGATTTTGAAGATACATAAACACAGACGTTCCACGTTGTGTTACAAGGGCGTAACAGATGTGCTGAATTCTAGTCTATCATCTATCTCAGGATTTTAATTAGTCTCTAACTGCCTCACTGGACACAAAGTTTCATTGTACAGCATCAACTTGTTAGGATCTGTACATCCAATTATAAACCAGACTGTGCAATCTGACAACCTCCACCCAGATGTGTGGTTACATACATCTACCAAATTAAGTCTTAGAAATTCCTTGAGATTTGTAATTCATTAACTCTATCAGGAGACTTTCATAGTTCTTTTCTTTTTTCATAATAATGTGGGATTTCCTAGTTTGTGCCCTTATTCTGAGCAAACAAATTTGGGATATGCTAGACCCACACACCAGGAAATAGGGTACAATTTTTTACATTTCTCATCTATAGTTTGGGGCCTCCCAGATATCCTATTTGGGGGTACGTTGGCATTTGCTCAAACAACTAATGCAGACACAAACAGCTCTCCGAGTCTAACTGTAGCACTGAATATAAACATGCATGGTGATATAGATAATTATACAAACTATCTTATTTCCCACTGACATCTAACAAAAGCTAGCTTCATGCAATCTCTACATTAACATAATGAATTTATGAACATTAAAAATGTTCCCTTTTTCTTCTCTGAAAACAGTAAAATGCTTTGAAACTTCTTTAGTATAAGCTGAATGAATAAAGGTATCCTGATATGTTCTTTTCAAAACTTACCTTAAAATGTAATATGAAGGCCTTTTATATTCCAGTTTAGAAGGACTGCCCAAAGGCAATAATCTTCACCCAAGCTAAAACATGACTTTAACAATCAGCTAAACCCTATAAGGAAATCTGAATAAGAAAAGCATGTCACATAAGCCATAATCTTACCTTAATTGTTCAGTTCAAACATCATCATCTGCAAAGAAAAAATCAGAAAGCACGCCTTAGCAATGTACATTCAATCAGTTTTCATAACTTTAAGAGTAAACACAAGAATTAAAATGCAAAAGAAATGTCTGACTTCCATTAGTAGCTAGAGTCTTAATTTAAAAGGAAAACTACACCTGAAAGCTGCCCATGACCTTTCTCAGCCTAAAAATAGCCCTAGAATCAAATACTACACTTTAACCATTGTTTTTTTCCAACAAGTTTTTCACCTGCCCCCACCCATCCTACCTTTCTAAGTATCCCATTTAGACAGCTGTAAAATTTGGTTAAGATGAAATGTAAAATACAAATTATTCAAAATCTGCCCAAATTTTGAGTGGTTTAGGACAACCATATTCCACAGAATAAAGCTAACACAAAGAAGGAAAAAAGAAGGACCACTCAAGGGAGAGGCACCCAATGTGACACAGGAAAAGCCAGGCAAAGACTAAAGGCAGTGCAGAATTTCGTGAAGCTTCTTTCTGGGCAGCCAAGGAAGACAGGAAACTTTGTGAGCGAATGGAGGCCCACTGTCAGAAAGGAGAACTGGTTCCCTGTGCCAAAGGCCAAGAGCACAGACGTGTGGACAAGCTATTTGACATCCTGCAGCTCTGGGGACTCTGGTGACAGCAGTACCTCCCTCTAGGGCTGTCGGGAAGATCCACTTGGACACGGACAACAGGGAAAGCGGTTCACCACTGTGCCAGGCTCATTATAGGAGCACAGGGAGTTTCTGTGGAATGCACACATGAAGAAATCTTTACTGGGAGTTTTACAGAAACTAGGTAGATTTCTTTTATGGCCATTTCTTCAGTCAAATTTCATAAGAGTCATGGGCAGAACAAACGAGAGGGCAATGCAGGCAGACATTAGGAAGCCAAAGGATCCCAGTCCTACAGACCAAATTCAGGGTGAAGGTTTCCTGTGCCAAGTAGGCGGAGCTGTGCTAAAGTACTAGCCTCTTTCGGTCTAAACCCACAGTTCCAAACCCCTGTCCCTCCCTTTTTTAAAAGCAAAGGGCATTTTTGTGGGACTTACACAAAGCAGCCTTCAACTTATAAATTCAATCGATGAAAAAAAATGCTACCCTTCAGAATCTTGATATTTGGGGGTTAAGGATAAAATCACCACCACCATCACCACGCTAACACTGACTGAGCCCTGCAAGCCACTGACTCTGCTTCACTGTGTTCACTCCTCACAAACCTCTCATTATACCTACCCTATGGATGAAGACTGACTCAGAGACGTTACAGTCCTTGCTCGAGCTCACACAGCTAGTGGGGGGGGAGGGGGGAGTGAGATCAGAATGCGACCGACTCCAAAGC